TACAATGGGCATTTTGTATTGATTTATTTGTTTTTTGCGCATTCAAAAATATTTCGATACAACTAGGAACTTTCATTTCACCAGCAATTTAGAAAAGTTTCAAAGCATAAGAAGTATAAGAAAAAATTAAAATAGAATAAAAACTTAAGAAAATCAGGTGTGAAATTTCCACTATGACTAGTAGATGGAACTATCATCATATCAACGTGTTTTAGTTCGTGAATAAAACAATGAACGCGAATGAACTCAGTCTACGTTATCATTGTAAATTCATAATTAGCTTCCACAAGACTCGAGATACTCCAAGAAAGCGAACAATGTACTGACAATGCAGTAAGTTCTTCGCAACGAAAATCATAATTGATAAACAATTAGTCCATGTAGCAGATGTACACAGTGAAGATTCCTGGAAGGGGGGAGCAGCTAATTCCTTTCAGCTGCTAAGCATTCAATTTTATTAAATCATTTCACCCTGTACAAATACACACGAGAGAAGGGGACGGGCAGAAAAATACTCGGGCAAAGATGTCGATTAGTTTCTTTCTATTAGTCTTCCCTTATACACATAAAAATAAGTTTTACAGGGCGGAACACAGCAGCTTGTGTGCTTCATCAGTTAAACTAGTCTAATTGATTTTCAACGAGAACAGTAGATTTTGCGATGCATAAAAAAATTGAAATAACGTGAAAAGTTTTCGATAAAAAATTTGTAAATTATTAAAAAGCAAACAGATAAATGAATCGTGAAAACGTGTCGACTACGATAACGTATCGGCTTGAACAACGTTACATTTTTCACTTGCAAATTCGTTTATCATACCGTGTCAATGAAAATCCAAAATAAAAAAATAACAAGTAAAAACGAAAGCGACGCAAAAACAAAACAAATGATTTTCCTCGTTTGCTCTTCCTGAATACAAATCGTGATATAAGCTATTAATTCATATCTTAAAAGCAATAAAAATAACGTGGAAAGTACAGGTTCAAATCGACCTTGTCATACTCACCCCTCGAATCTCCATGAGCCAAGGAAATGAACTTGAATTTTCGAGCATTGCGTGACTGAAAATTTTTGCTCATCGAAAACTTCTCCCCTTGGCAATTATCATGAAAGAGAGTATAGATCGAGTGAGAAAAGCGCAGGTCAAGGTGTACACGAGTAGTGCGCGCCTACAATATCTGCATGAAGCCCCCGCTATCAAGGTGACTGGCTTTAATCCACTTCTCCGAAGCTCGTTTCCCTTTTTATATCTCCGGCTGTTTATTCCACCTCTCACCCATTAGCTGCAATGTCACGTATACGCGCCAATCGTTTCCTGCACTCGCTGCACGCGTGTCGATGCGTTTACGAGGTACATCAAACAAGGATTCAGAAAGTGTTTTGTTTTTTATTGCGATTTCATGAACTGTAGACTGCGAGCAAATTAATCTGAGCACTTGAGTTAATTAAAAAAAATTATTTTCGTACGACTTTGCTCCGTGGCAAGTGGTTTAATTTGCAAAATAGGTATTGGCGTAAAACTTTACTATTCAAATTCGTTGTAATAATTCCTTTCTATATACTATCGACCTAATATGATTCTTTTCCGCACTTTAATTTAAGTTTTACCTTTGGCGTTATCGAATTCAGTTTTCCGTGTTTCTGTTGTCGTTACAACTTTACAAATGGCCTGGAAAAACGAGGTCGCGTGTCTTTATTTTCCGAGTAAAATTGGCTGCGAGCGATGCCACGTGACCTACTTTCTTGAAGTACACATAGATTGAAAATTGATAGGCGACACAAGATTATTGTCGGATTCATTAATTACGATTCGCTTGTAAGTAAAAATTACAGATCGTTCGTCACACATGTGCCGTGATATTATTTTCATATTAAAACGAATTAATTTGCAGCTACTATTTAATCTGCAACAAAAGAGATCGATAAGCTTGTGCAATTAGTGCGTTGCTGAATATTTCATCTCGGCAGGCGGTCTGATCAAGATTGCGCGCGCAACGTAAATTGCGACACTATACCTATAATTTTATTTTTCTACACTGTCGCCAAGGCAACTCGACAACAAAGCACTCTGCAATCTCCACTATTTTCCAATGCCACAAACGATGTAACAAAAGAATGCCGGGCAGTGTAGTGTTTCATCACACGGCGATAACAAAATTTTAGCGGCGCGCGCGCGAGTTGTAGTAAATTATCAAATTCCCACAGAGTATTACACAAAAGTCCGTTGAAAGGAAAAATGATCAAAGGTGATATCGTATCGATAAATTGCTTTCTCGATCGAGAGCAAAAAACGAGGAACCGTATGTAGTGTCCTAAACCAACGTAGCCGGGATTTAAAAAGGAAAAAAAATTGCGGTGATTTTTCATCGTTCCGATGCACTTTCGAGGTCACTTTGAATGCGTTGGATTTATTTTTATCTGCTCACACGAATGGGTTGGCTTGATGGTACTGCTGCGTAGACGACCTTTCTTTGGGCGCATGTGGCTGACCACATTCACATTTGTTCTACTTTTATAAAATGCTATAGATTCTGTAGTGAACGAGTTGCTTATAATACTAGTCTATATTTGAGTATTTTATTATCGATTTGCAACTTATACAAACAGTGTGTTCTAGTGCGACATCCTTGAACGCTTATCGAATAATAACATAATACGTCTCATTGATTTTCACATTATTCACGAACGAAATGTCTACAAAAATATAAATCATAGCTTTTTCCAGTACTAAAGGCTGAAACTACTAAAGGATGAGCAACGATACTTCAAACGCGGAAAGAGAGCTCGATGAAAACCTCTCGCAATTTGTCGTCTCGCAAAAAAAAGAAGCGTTACAACAAACCACATATGCGTGCGTGGGTCGGAACGGATATTATGTGAATTATATGCAACAGCCACTTTTCTCTCACCCACTGTACAATTTCATGCTCGGGCTATTTCCGAATACTCGAGGTCTGTTATTTTAATTTCCCGAGTACTCGTGCACCGACTATACGTTTCTTTTTTCATTTCTGATAGTCTCTATCAAGGTTGCGCACTCGTGCATTCTTCAAAAATTGAATTATAATGCAATTTGCTTGTACGCGTAACAACGCAACCCGTCGAATTGAATCATTGTTAAAAATGTCGCAGGGCTGTTGCATTGGATTTCATAACGTGGTCAATAAACATGTTACACAAGATATGCCGTGAAACGATGACCGCATAATTTTTGCATGATAAACGATAAAAGATAAGTTGTTAACAAGTGTTACCTCTAAGAGTACCACTATTTTTCATAACATGCAGGCCTGGCGCGTTATATGTGAAATGATATTAAAGAAACTGCTTGCGCGATGAATGCTTCGTACGTCATTCATTTTTGACGTAAATAAACTCGCACATCAGTTATCCTTGCTCATAGTTTGTTAAAGTTTGCATTGATATCAAGCCAGAACAACTACAGAAGTTATTTACAGGTAGACCGCACAAAAAAGCTTCGGAATTAACAATTTATACATCTTCATCATAAAACTTTTCGAGATACGAATAAATTAAAGATTCAACGCTCGAGGGTGAATGTAGGGTAGTAACAACAAAAATCTATCGTAAAGTCATACAAATAGCATTCTAAGGCTTAGCAAGTTTCCGAGACAATAACCAATAGCCACAATTCGAACTCCGTGTGAGGGCCAAGTGTAGGAATTAATAAAGTGCTGGGGGTAGCTCCGGTACTCGTTCTCTCGCTCCATTGTCAAGTTTGTAAAGACGAAAAGCGTTGACTCCATTGTACCATGCCGTGTGCTTATACCTTGGATCTATTCGATAATAGAATTCCAAAAGAGATGTAAACTTTTTCCAGCCGGTTCGGCATTTTATGATTTAGCCTTTTACCGCATCGAATTTGATTTTAAAGTAAAAACATAAAAACCCCAGTCATAAACGAGGAAAAGCCTGAACTAAACTTCTACAAACTAATACTACGCAGAGGGAAATCGCACTAATGCTTTACAAGCGCAAGATGTAGCTAGACTAACTAACTAAACTAAAGATGGCTATCAAGATACCTCGCACTAGCTGCTCGCCCTGACCACCGCCGGTGCGAGGTAATGTTCATTGGGGCTCGTTTTCCGCTCACAGTTAGCCCCGCCCTTTGATTTTTCCGCTTTTTCTCTCGCGCTTGCTCATCTCGCTTACTTTAGCCTATCGGACTAGAGCAGTCTTTTTGCTGACTATCCGTACTTGGGTGATCCACGATATCCAGAAACGTCCTTCTCGAGGGATCTAATAGCCTCCTAGAACCCAACTCTAGGAACTAGGGGCGTCACGGCCACGATAGTGCCTGTGCGCTCGTGAACGTTTCAAGTGTTGAGCTTCGAGAGACAGAGACGAATTAATCGTTTCATTATTAGTATATAGATGCGCACGTATACATTTATAACAATATTTTCGGATCATCGCGTTACGAAAGTACAATAGCAGCTACGTGTTTTTACGATTTAGGGTGTCCTTGTCGTACAACTTTCGCTACCTGCGCTAAACGCGTTCTTGTTTGTTCGCTCACGTTCACAAAAATCTTTCTTATTAATCGCCATCTATTTATTTTCGATTCAATTTTATGGTCTTATTTTCTACGCTTGGAACAAATAGTATTTAGGTTATTCCATCTCTCGATCAACGGACCGCGAGATTTGCATAAATGCCGCTCGAGCTTTCTTGATTACCTTGATATTTTTTAGGCAGGAAAACTAAAGTACTCTCATACAGCTTGCTGCATTTATTCTTTCATTCCCGAAGCTGCAATCAGAGAGTTAATTCCAATTGTATAATTGAGGTTGGTACTCAACTCAACGATATAGTGATCTACTTATAAATGCTTACATGCTTATGTGTCAATTGAGCGTTACGTAAATTTCGCGATTGGTGTGATACATTCTGAGCTGCGCAGGCTGCTTAACGATAATGGATTAGAAAGAAAATTTTTCAAAGTGTTTTGAAGACATTCGTTGGTTGTCCACAGGCACAGCTATTGAAAAGTTATGCGAGTGTGCAATGGAGGAGTGTCTGACGGATCGGGAGGCAGTGGTAAGGGCAGCCAAATGCCTGCTAGGCGCAGTCACGCGAGTTTTACTACTAGCAGATATAACGGTGGTGAAACAACTACTCATGGCCAAGGACAAGGTAGCACGCAGTTTGGGTAGACTCGAGAGTGTATCCAACTTCACCGAATTCGTCAAGGCATTCAGTCAATTCGGAGCCGAGATGGTCGAATTGGCTCACATGACGGGTGATCGACAGGTTAATTTTGCTTTGCTTTCATTACTAATGAAATTAATCAACTATGACTACTTTCGCAGTCGAATGCTTGATACTTTAGAACAATCTCATTTCACATCGGACGCTATATATAAAAACATTTGCAATCGATTATGCTACTTCCAATGTTATTTACCGCAGATTGTTTATGTTTTACAATGGACGATGACAAAAAATAACTCGCAATGTCATCAAAGACAGGATTCAATCGATGAACTACAAAAGCGTTTTTTTAAGATAAATTAATTATCTTGAATTGTTGCAAGTTGGTGCACGTATAGGTAATACTTCGAAAGAAATAAAAGACACGATCGTGCGACCTTTACAAGACTTCCATCCCCGTAGATTACACTAATGACTTTTTCGAAGGCGTCGTGAAGACTGCTCAGAATTTTAATTACAGGCTATTAGTTCTTATTAAAAACAATATCGTTGTGGAACTTGGCCGTGCAAGACAAGTCCGTTTTATCGAGTTCACAAATTGTCAAGCAACAGCTTTTCTATAGGTCGCTCAATGACGAAACAATAAACATGAAAAAATATTCCAGAACGACTTGAAAGACGAAAGGCGGCGGGCACAAATGGCAGCAGCGCGTCAAGTACTAGAGCGTAGTACGATGATGTTACTGACATCGAGCAAGGCATGTTTAAGGCACCCAGACTGCGCGACAGCCAAGGAGAATCGTGATACCGTATTCTGTCAGATGAGGCGAGCCATGGATCTCATTCATTACGTCGTCAAGGACGGTGTACTTGACTGTAGCGGATCCGATTACTTGAATTCGCAAGTAAGCCTCTTTCTATCAAACACAAGAAACTTAATTGTATTTATAGTTTATATCATGTTATGTTAGACGGAGGTTTCAAAGCACGTGAACAGCAGCAAATCTAATTCACTATTGAATCGAATCATTCTTACTGCACAAAATCAAATCAATTGCGTTTTTCTAAGCAATGCGGAATTTAAGTTTTTTCAAGATTTAACATTTTAGATATAAGTAACTCATGTTATAAACTTATTAATTTCTTAAATTGAAGAAACATTGGTTAAAATGATAACGTTATTTTTTATGAAATCTAATTTTATAATTATTATTTTAAGTATTTTTTTTTAATTTATGAGCCAATTGAGAATTGTGTTACCGAAAAAAGTCCTTGACAAAATTAAGATTTATGAATGATAATTTAAGAACATTAAGTTTCAGAGACACTCCTTTTCTCGAACATATTGCACTGTTATTCGAAGAAAAATGTATTTCTCCATTAAATAGTTTTTTTTACTATGAATAACGTTTTCTAAAACTCACCAACTTGTGTAAAAGATAGGATGAAATAAAAGGTATCTTGTCGATTGGTCATTGACGCAGAGCCCCCAACAGGAGGACTGGGATAGCAGCACGGTGTTCTCAGCACTGAAGCAGTTCGAGCGTCTAGTAGAATCGACTCGAGTGACATTGCTAAGTGCCGGTTGCCGTGAGACACTGACATCGGCGCTGGACGTCGTTGTCGAACGTACCCAAGACTTCACCGACAGTGCTTACACGAGTCACGAGCATCGCGAGAACATACTTCTACTCTGCGACAGAGCTAAACTCGAACTCAATACACTGCTGCGCATTGGCAATAGTATGGTAAGCTGTCTTTTCTTTAAAAAAAAAAGCAGTTGTTCGCACTTTCAACTTTGTTCTTTGCTTCGTAGAACTTTGACTCGAGTACGGGAGCGTCCCCGAATTCCGAGTTGGATCAAGCGGTTCTTGGTGTTCTGCGAGCAACGCGTGATCTTAGACATCAGTTATGTCAAACGACGATGGAGCAAGCTGGCGACTTAAATCAAGTGACCAAAGCTGGTCAAGAACTAGTCTCGACTATTCGTAATTTCGCGCTGACCAGTGACATGGAGAGGCTACAGGAGTGCAGCGATCGCTTTCACGAATACATCGAGCACATACTCGAAGTGCGCTCTTTTTCGCTAATCAGCCCGGTATCAACTTGCTGATTGTCTTATTTGTTCGGCAGGTTTGCAAATTATTGAGGCACATCGCACTCACAGAGTCTTTGCAAGTATCCGCAAAATTCACAGAAATTAATCTCCGGATATATGGACCTCAAGTCGTCACAGCTGCGCACACGTTGTCGAGGCACCCCACGAGTAAAATTGCCATTGAAAATCTCGAAGGTTGGCTCAATACTCTTTTCCTTTTCTTTACTTCGAGCGATAGAGATAAACTTTCCTTTTCTTCTTTTCGGTATTTTAGTATTTGCAGATATGTGGCAATGGTTAATGTCGGACGTGACGACGGTGGCAAAAGACGTTCTCGAGTTATGTCAGAATCGACCTGAAAAGCAAGTATACATGTCTCTCCCGCGACCAGGGGTAAGTTCAAGCTGTCACCTCACCTTTTCTTCGAGACTTAACCTTTGAAACTCTGCTGGCAACAGAAGCACGGTACAACAAGCAAACCTTTGAAACCAGTAAGATTAGATAGCGAGGAGCAGGCGAAAATTGCCAAAGCCGGCCTCGAGATGAAACGCATAACTTCGGAGATGGAAGCCGAGACGGAAAAATGGCAAGAGAACGGTAGCGCATTGGAGGAGAACAACGATATCGTTAAAAGAGCGAAAAATATGTCTTCGATGGCGTTCTCCATGTATCAATTTACGCGTGGCGAGGGCGCGCTCAAGACAACCCAAGATTTGTTCACCCAAGCCGAATACTTCGCCGAGGAGGCAAACAGATTGTACAAAGTTGTGAGACAATTCAGCTATCAGGTACATCAGCTTGATCGCCAATTTTGCTCATTTAGCACTCCAATTAACTGGAATTGTTCTGAATCATCTCTCTCTCTTTCTCTCCCCCCCCTCTCTCTCTCTTACTCTCTCTTACTCTCTCAATTATTCTCTCTAACTCTATTCTATCTTTCTTATCCATTGTTTACCAATTATATATTGGACTTGACCATCCCAATACTCGTGCTATTGGATACTTCATTGCTGTTGGACTATCATTTCTATCTATTTCTTTTTTTCATATTTTTTTGGTCTTCAATACTATTTCTGCGCACAAGTTACATCCAAGCTTCTTCATTCTTTTTTTCGGTCTCTCTTTCACACACGCTACGTGCAACGTCAAAGACAAGACTATGCTCACTCAAATATAGCACTATTTTACCTATTCACTTTGCTCACAAAAAACTGGATGAAGCTTATGCGCAATGAAAGTTAGCTTTAGAAAACACGTTGAAATATATAAAAAAACACGTTTACTGCCCTTTATGCGAAACATCCTAGTTAGGCTAAATAAGATATAGCTGTCTAATTAATTTGAAACGCCACCTATCAGTCTTTCTATTATCACCATTTAACTATTTCTTTTTCGAGAGATCAGTGCTAACCTGTACATTTCTGTATTATAATAACCGCTCTTTCGATTGACCCTCGCTCTTGAATGCCTCCATCCAGGTAACTTTTTCTATCTTTACTTTAGATCCATTGGTTGTTTATCATTCTCTATTTGTTCATTATTTTTCATACAAAAATCTTCACCTCGCCTGTAATAATACATCATATCTTTTTTTATCCAACTATTTTTCTTATCTTTTTGCCATGTAGTAGCAGTCATTAAATTAGTTGTATTTCAACAAATGTAAGCATTCTTTTTTTTGGATCAACAGTATTTATGTCGAAAATGTGTAATCTATCTATAAAAATATAAATCGAGATCACACGATTCAAAATTGAATTTGAACAATTAATTAATCAGCGTGTGATCTTGGATAGTATATCAAAGTAATAAATTTTTCAAATAAAATACAATATGATGTGCATCTCTAAGTATTAACGTACATACTATCATAACTATTTAAAAAAAAAACATGTTTTTTCTGTGTACGATAGTAAGGTGTGTTTTAGATGCTACGGGAATGCTTCCGTCTGAGGACGACGTCTATGTGCATTGTGGTCCCCTTCTCTCCTTCCACTAACTGGGGCATGAACATATAAATAAATAAATAAATATATGTGTGTGTGTGTATATATAATACATATATATATATACAAACACACATACATATATATAATAAAACGTGTCCCAAAAGAAAGTTTTTGCTAGCTTCTCAGAAAGCTAATGTATCTCTTTTGATAAACTCTGATTTGTACATGAAATATAGTGTAACTAAACGAAACATTTTTATACAAGTACTATCTGTTGAAATATTAAATGACAATAAAGTAAAATATGTTACGTTTGATAATTCGCAAAGCTGGCAAAAGCATCAAGGTCTGTACTGTATCACTGTCACTCACATTATCACTCTTTTAATACTATACTTCTATCTTATCTTTTTTCTTTTTCTTTGATTTATTATTATACTTCTATATTATTGCATTGTATTTAATTAGGAAAGATAAAACTCTAGATGACTAAATGCGCGTATGCAGACAACTGCAAATAGAAAGAATGTTAATTTTAGTTGATCTACAAAGTTGAAAACTCTGTCAGAAATGTGTGCATGCGCGCAGATGATTAGTTTGATTTCACGGTTATATATACGATCGTTAAATTTAGATTCAGACATAGCATAAATACATGCATATTCTATTACAAAATTTTCAAAGATAAATGCCAAATTAATAATACATAATACCAGATCGCTAAACAAGCACACTGCTCGAGCTTCATTTTTTTCGGAAAATAAGTATATACTTATTTTTAAATAAGAAAAAATTGTGTAGCTGTCGAGTACCTAAAATTAACACTCGAATTATTGTTTAGCGATACGATAAACCCCATGCAGCGAATGCATCTAATGTAGATTTGGTGTGTTGGGCGCAGGTGCCGGGTGGGCCACACAAAAAAGAACTGCTGGAAAATCTGGATCGCGTGCCGACGTATGTCCAGCAGCTGCAGTTCACCGTGAAAAATCCCACCGTCGGAAAAGCAGCCACATTCATCAAGGTCGACAATGTTATACAAGAGACGAAAAATCTCATGAACGTTATATCGAAAGTTGTGACCACGTGCTTCGTCTGCGCCACAAAGGTGAGTTTCATTGTATGGTATACTGGCAATGTTATTGTACTTAACATACGCCCTGTATTGATATTGAGATAGATTACATATATGGATTTTTATTAGTAGTGAAATTGGAGTATACGCGAAAGACGATAACTCAATTAACAAACAATATGCTAATCATTCTTGTTACGATTATTATGAAAAACATCTGTACGAGAAGTTCATGACAGATGTAACAGAGTTGGCTGATGGATGCCTGTATTCATAACATTGAATCGTAGATGTGTCGCGATAGCACCACCCTATTTAGATCATGTCTATCAAATTATCTAATCGGAGTATCACGAGTCGCTTGTATACTCGTGTTATTCATATCACATTAATGTCGTTAACTAACTTTTGAACATTCAATAAATCTCGTCTTTGGCGGTATCAGAAACAAAAATAAAGAAAAGAACTATTCTAATTGTATTCTTATAGCATTCATTCACTCTGTTATTTATTATATATATTTTCTGATATGATTCGTTGTTGTTCGATGACAAAAATGAAAATAATGCACCATCACACTCGTAGCACAATGTGAGCATGCCGCAGTACATGGAGATGAACCCACCAACGCCACCCGGCCAAGGAGAAGAGGATTGTCTGTATCCAATAAGTCCACAATTGATACCACACGCGAGACCATACGTACAGCCACATCCACTGACTCCCGAACAATTGTATGCCATATTTCGTCCACCGCCACCCGATCCATTGCCATTACTTAATGAATTACTGGTCAATCAATTGAATTTCAATCATTACAATAATACACTACCAGCGATTTCTCGTATGCGACAACGGCATAAGGTTTTTCCAGCAGTAGCTACTTTATCAAGGAACATGACGACCGAGGATGCATTGCATTACCTGCATAATCAACAATTGCCACCGCAACTTTATCAGATTAGACACTCGAGATGACAATCGGCCATGGGGCTGCTGCTGTGCTGCCTCGACTCTCTACTGTCATACGCGCACAAGCATATCACCACCACGCTATCACTTCTATCACTTCTTCTTCTTCTTCTACTTCTACTTCTACTTCTACTCTCCTCCTCTTCTTCTTCTTCTTGTTCTTCTTGTTCTTCTTCTTCTGCTACTCTTGCATCGTTAGAGTAAACACGCGGTGACGTACCAGGTGCGGCTTTTATGGCTTTATCTCTCTTTTCTATATACTGCTTTTTACACTTCCATCATCACGCACACATACCCTTTTTCCTTAGAGGAATAACGACTATGACTTTTGCCTCGGGCATCACCTTGTTGGCTTCTTTTGGATTAGATACAATATTATTATAGGTAAAATAGTATGTTCCAGAGCTCGATTTTTGTCGTGATTTTTTGTGCGTTGTATGCTCCGACTAATCAACTAATGTGTAGATGCTAATACGTGTCCTTTGTGTATAACATGCCTATTGATTGATATTTTCAGTGAATCGTGCAGATATTCTATAACTATGTAAAACTATGTTTTTCTCAACAATGTTGAATATATTGCTTCCACTGAGTTAATGGATTTTTCAAATGTATATTGTCGAGAAAAACACAATTGGACTAAGCATATATTGGTAAGGTTGACTGATTTAAAAGTTTTTCTGATTTGATTTTTGAAGTTTTTTCTAGATCTCTCACCAGCACTAACTTAATTGTTTACTCTCACAGCAACTGTACTTATGTTATTGTTAAGAATTAATATTTATGAAGTTACAGGTTGTCGTGGATAAAAGATTTTATCTACAACCTGTATCTTCGTTTCTTAATAGAATAAAATTTCACATCCTTTTTACAGAGAAACATGCCTTTACCTCAGGATACTCTGATAGAAAAATGTAGCGTTCGAAATGCATAAGTTATTGAAAAAAATTCGCAAATCATTGCAAATAAATATAAATTATTGTAAAAAAGTTTAGACGTTTAAAAATTATTAATACCGATTCGAAAAATCGTAGTCGATATATAAAAAAATTTGATTTTTCACAATTAAAATATTTTTATTTTAATCTTGAACAGATTTGAAAAATAAAAACTTTCAATTTTCAACAATAAACTATTTTGCAATAGTTTGTATATATATTTTTTATTTAAAAAATTAATTACTATTCCCTAACGACATCTTTTCTACGGAGTATCCATGACAATGATGTATTATATACCTAATAATAATCATTCATAGTTGCAATATCCCCACTCCAAAAGATAAAAAAAAAGCACGATCATCGTGCAAATGTCTGAATGATGAAACTAATGCCGGTCGTTTTGACGACCTTTCTTCTCTTCTTTTTTTTTAACATTGTTACAGTACAACCTGGATTTCCGAGGTCTGTCGGCGCGCGGGGCCGGCGGCTTGCCGTACCGGGGCGGAGACGGCGTGGGTGCCGACGGCGATGGAAGCGGCGCGGGTGGCGACGGCAGCAAGGCGGGCTCCGCTCCCGGCAGCGATCCGTCTGTCTGACAGTTCGGGATGGCCCGACGGGCCAAGGGGGACGCTCGCCGCACGCGGGTTTCCTTTTTACTCTTCTAGGCTTCTATAATCAAATGCTTGCCCATAACTTTTTTCTTCGATTTTTTTCGACGGGCAAACGAACTTTTTCCTATCTCTTTCATTTTCACGCTGTTGTTGAAAAGGCCGTTACTGAAACTAGAACCATACGAACACCCACGTCCAACGTTTTATGTCTGTTTCACTTTGTTTTACACGGCTGCGTGTGAAAATCGAGGTACGAAAATGTTAGCCTCAGAAGGAGACCTGTTGGGCGGCAGCAGGGCGGTCAGGGACGTACTTTGTGGCAATGGTGAAGCTTTAAGATGACGTGTGACGTGATAATTTACCGGTTGAACATTATTTTTTCCTTGTTTTTTTTCGGCTGTCGTCATCACGACATCTACTGTCGAACACCCGACGATTCAACTTCAACGGTATACCATTATATTTTTGTACAATTTTTTCCATTAACGTTGATAACGATATGACGTTGTTACTGCAAACATTGAAGAGTTGCGGAATCTATGTTTCGAGATACTGTGAACTGGATCTAGGGTGTTCGTCGCATTGATGAAAAAAATGACTTTTTTTATAAATAAATCGTGCCACGAGATGTATTCTCTTCCAGTGATGTACAGTTTCTAGTATAGCATGTAAGTTTAACAGACGCGAGAGAACACAATAAACAATCACTCTGTGAGATCATTCCAACAATCTTTTCAAATGATCGTTTTTTTCGTTTTCTCGGTCATTGTTTAGTAAAAATACAATCGAGCTTCTTTCGTGCGTCAAAGTCTTTGTAGTTTGTATATATTTAATTGTACGCAATCGAGAATAACGTTGACAGAGCATTTTTTCTACATTTCGTCAAAATAAATATATATAGATACGATGTATATGTGTATACACGTATGATAGGCTGCTGAGCCTTAAATAAATTCCATATATATGTAGAATATAATTTTTAAAACAAATGACGTCATTGCTATAAAAAGCTAAAAATATAACAAAAAAGACAAAACAGTGAACTGACTAATCATTAACGAATTAATAAATAAAATAAAAAAAGGAAAAGAGAAAAGAAGAACTTAAAGTTCGAAAATCTTGACATTTAGAGGCATTTAACACTCGCAGATGTTTTTTCCAATTCTGATTGTTATATAACGATATCATAAATGCGTATTATAAATTGCGTTGATGTGTCCTCATTCTTTCGTTGTTTCCTCGCACTATATACTTGTATTACACAGGGTCGGCACAAAACAAAAATTATACGATTTTTCTTTAGTCTAATATTATTAATTATTGTTAAAATAACGAATTATTAGTTTTCCAAAGGAACGTACTCATTTTCAATACGCTTAATCTCTATATTACAATATTAACGAGTGCGAATCTTCTTGTAAACATATGAAAAACTTATTGCTTTTTCAAATACTACTTGAATAATTTTGTAAATCATACATCTAATACACCAATTTATGAAACCACTGTGACAATTGATTTTTAATGCATTGATCTTCTTGAATAAAAGTTCCTAGATATACGTCATTCTTCAAATAATAGACAATGTTGATGTCTTATTCATGCTTATAATATTGTATATACTCTGTAATATATCTTTGTCTTCGATTTAGAATTCAAGTGACATTTTGTTTTCGTTATAACATATAACATTATACATGTGTGTGAAAGCACAAATATTTTGGAAATTCAAATAAGTCACTTTACGTACGAATGAAATTACTTGAATATATATTTCGTTAAAATGTAAGTTATTTGTCAATTTGGTGCTTTCATCTTAATAATTAATAACTAGAGGAGATATAAAACTTTACTAGTATTTTATATCCGTTCAATACTTTTAATAGTTTATCTCCTCAGCTTAATAAACTTTATTCAAAACTACTTCTAGTTTGTAAATAATATAAATCTTAGTATAGAGACAATGATATACCTCTCTCATGTGCTATAATTGAATTAAATCTATTGAATTCTGTTATCAAAAAGTAATCTATTAACAAATATTATTAATAATTAAGATACTTGTACAGAATCGGCATCATGTCAACCATCAACATAATTGCTTTTAAACTATTTTTTCTATATTCTATTTCTATCATTCTGCTTAAAATATTCCTCATATAATCGTATATCATAATTAATGATTCCATCTAAAGCTTCGACCAGGGTTCACTTTCGTATATTACGTTCTAATTAAATAAAATAAAAAAAGAAAGTATTTGTCAAATTACAAGACTTATTTTATAGAGTTAGTACATTTTTAAATGAATGAACATTTAGATAACCGTAAAAATTTTTTAAAAACGATCTACTTAGCGAACGCACATATTTATTCAAGACACAATGGAAAATGATGTTGGTAAAGTCGATAAATAAAATAAACGTTGATACACGATTATTCTATAAACGTAAATGTACAAATTGGAAATAGATAGAAATTACAAATCGTAATTTACCGTGATATAGGTGGACTGCAAATTAGATTAAAGATTTTGTGCCTGCCATTATTCTTAGAATAGTATGAAATGAATTCTTTGATTAAATGTTTCATCACTTGATTGTTATAATCATTAATGAAATCTTCTAAACAATACTTGCAAAAAAAAATAATGTAGTTGTGTCATCTTTCAAAAATAGAAAAAAATACTAAAGAACAAAATACACAACGAATGGAGCTTAAAACTTTTGAAAGTATTGAAATTCTATTCGGAATAAATAAAAAACAAGGAATCATGATAATTATTTCAAAAATTTCATTTGAGTACAAAAAATTATAAAATCTGATAAGTCGATGACAATCTTCTACATATAATTAATTATTTTATAAAAACAATTAATGCACGTAAAATCATAACTACCCATCCTTGCATAATACACGCATTTGAAATAAGAAAATATGCCGTTCTTAAAAATAATTTATAAGAAATTTGAATTTTTCCGACATTTACATTGATGAAAACTCTTCGAATAAAATATTTTAACTTTTTTTACCGTAATTCTGCGCTATTTAGTGATTATTATTAAACTGCTAACAAGAATCAACTTTTTACACAAATATTAAAAATACTAAGCATACACACATTTTTTATACAAATCATTTCACTTAGAAGCTTATCTTTTTGTAAGAAAAATAAAAATATAATTACGGCTTACAAATAAAAAAAATATCGCTTTAGAGGCGCGCACAAATATCGCTCGTTTTAGGTAATACAAGCTTTGCTTAAAAATTTTTAATAGTACCTAATAAAGCTAAAGCATTTTCTATTGGTCCTCTTGTAAAGTTTCGCGTCAAAGTAAACCAAAAAAATTGTCAGCTGATATTCGCAAGCCTAATGTAAATTGCATTTTAAACACTTGTTTATCTTGGGAGAAATGGAATAAAAACAATAAACGCAATCAAGCATGTTAAGCTCGATAAAAATAAAAGAACATTTTTGACTATGCTATATCAATTGCGCTAGTGAAAAAACAAATTGGTCGTCATACAGACATAAGTTTCAAAATGTGCATGTTTGTATATAATAAAAACAATACAACTGGGGAGTAAGCGCTACTATTAAATAATGTGAGAAAAAACAAAGTGTAATAGATACAAGATTATTTGACTGACATAAAATACCAATAATCATATAAAAAGATTATAAGAACGGTAAATATACGTACTGCTGTATAACTTTTCTTTAAAGACAAAGATGGTTAGAAAACTTTTTCGATATGAATATGAAAAAAATAGACATACACAATAGATTATAAAGACGTTATATATTTTGTGAGTAATAGCGAATTTACGGCGAGCGCAAATTTCGAGTCTTACGCTCTCGTAAGATTTGAGGAGTAAGATTTTTATAAAGTAAATAAATAAAGCGGTGTAAATGATCATTACAATAATTCTTCAAATTTATATATGGACAAATAAAGAAAGTTACGTCTTTGCATTGTGTAATTGAAAAATAACCAATCGAATCTATGTTCAATTTATTTGGTTACCTATTCACTGTTTCCAGATTATAACATTAAAAATAATGCGAATTTAAAAAGTTTTGATCAGACAGAGTATCAATATAAGAAATGGTTGCGAATAAAACTATAGTCTTCCTATCGATGCTTATGGATGCCGTTGGATAGCGCGAAATTTTTTCCATTATATGCTGAAACAATTTGAAGTCACTTCGAAGAAAGTAAAAACGGTATAATGCGAATCTATTTGTGGAAAAACGATGTATCTTTTGATTTGTACGTGAAGATCGAAATGAGATAAAAAACAAATGATTTAACGAAATATCTAGAATAGATTTCGTACTTCATGTTAAGCGATATTATTACTTCTTTATGTAACAGAACATCATGACAAATGAAAAAAAAAGCTGACGATAATAAGAACAAATAAATTATTGTATTTGAAATTATGATTTGTGTTTCACTTACCAACATATAAAGTTAGTATAATGAAAGTCCTGACACTCCATAGTTAATTATCAAATATTCTAAAAAAACTGTAGTTAAGGATCAAACCTTGACAAAATCTTTTTTAACAATACTTTATACGTAAAATAGTTATTTTTATTTATTCCTTATTTGCCTTTTCTTTATAACAAGTAAAGTTTTGAACCTTTTTGTGAAGCTTTTCTTTCAGTTGTTTAATATTTTAATATTTTTAAGTTGTTTTTAAAAATTTTTTTTCTAAATTTCTCTAGTATTTATTAAGATTGTTTGTCTATTTTTAATGAGATGTTTGAAAGACATCTGGAAAAAAAAAATGTAAAGTTTTATACAATAGAGCACCTAAATAATAATACGTTTTTCAGTGATGTTCGAAAGCTTTTTTATTTTCTATAATTATTGATTTTTTTGTGCCCACTGACAATCAACTTGTCGATCAGAGCTTGATATTCAAAACAAGTTACCACCAATCGATAAAACAGAAAATTTCCAAAGGATAAAAATAACGTAGGCCCGATCACATCACGCTCCACAGGGGTCGAAAGCTCATGCGCAAAGACAGAGACGAGGGTCAGCGACGTTCACTGTGGACGTGTGTACTACACACTGTAGTTGCTTGGCTGTTTTAGATCTATTCTTGTCTGCTTATGTCAATTGTTTGACTAGTAATAACTACGTTCCTTTTATTTCTGTAAAGATTGATATGAGTTTTTTTTAAAGTTCTGCTAAATTCTTCTGTTGGTGAGTAATCTAATTCAGTTACGAAAGATGTCTGTCAGTAATTACTTTGGTTAATAGTACTGTGATTATATACAGTGAAATAAGCTATAATATGTACTCTTAAACAGTTAACCATATATGTTTTTAGAATGTTAGTTCTGTCGTATTTCTATAGTTTTTTATAAAATAATGATTGAAAAGTTCACGATAGTAGAGTATTTTTTACTAAATCTTTATAGTTATTTTACTAAATGAACAACCACTAAATGTTTATAATCATCTTTTAATATTTTTACGTTTTTGAAATCATCGACAATAACATTTTAATAAATTAGTAAATATGTCTATATTTCAAAAAAAGCTTCAAGTTTTAAATAATTCTAATTTCTACATATTCATAGAATATTCATAGAACTCTAGAGGAATTCATTCACCAAGTTTTGATACATGCCTATGCAATAGCTACTCTAAAAACACCAAATGATCAACATGTTTAAAAACAAACATTATATAACCAATAAACTAATTAATAATTATAATCTTTTTCCAGCTTATCGGTGTATTGGAAATTGTTAAAAGAAAAATTTTCATAATTATGGCAGTTGCGTCAGAAACTCTTACACTCGGAAGAGGTATGTTATGTTTTTCCAAACTTTAAATATTTTTCTCAAGTTATGAATCATTTACGATAAAAATTTTCTCAATTTCAGACATCAAAAGATCAATTGAATTACTAGATAAACTTCAAAAAAGTGAGTTATTGGTTATTATATACATCAAATACATTTATGACAAATCATAATAAATTTACATATTTTCATATATATCATGAATGTTCAACGAAAAATTTATTTATTGTTTACAGGTGGGGAAATTCCCGTAACAAAATTAGCTACTCTTCAGAAAGTTTTACAAAGTGACTTTCTACATGCAGTTCGCGAAGTCTATGAACACATTTACGATACTGTCGATGTTCAGGTATTTCTTCAAAACTACTTCGCCACACATTTGAAAATTGAACAATTAAAAGTTTGTAATTTTATAAAAAATGTTTCAGGGCTCACAAGACGTTCGAGCTTCAGCAACAGCCAAAGCAACGGTAGCTGCATTTGCTGCAAGTGAAGGGCATGCACATCCACGAGTGGTGGAGTTACCAAAAACCGAAGAGGGTCTCGGTTTTAACGTAATGGGTGGTCGTGAGCAGAATTCTCCAATCTTTATATCTAGAATTATCCCGGGTGGTGTTGCTGATCGACATGGTGGTTTGAAACGTGGAGATCAATTATTATCTGTTAACGGAGTGGTAAGTATATTAGCAAGTAAAATTGACGATTATAAATCTTAATACAGAAACAATTGTTTCAGTGCGTTGAAGGAGAAAATCACGAAAAAGCTGTAGAATTGTTAAAACAGGCTCAAAACTCGGTGAAACTCGTCGTACGTTATACCCCGAGGGTTCTTGAAGAGATGGAGATGCGTTTCGATAAACAGCGATCCCGACGACGTTCGCACGTACCTTAAATGGATTAAAAATTACAAAAATCAAACTCTCTATGTGAATCAAAAAACTAATTATTCACAAGTACCTTTGGTAGGATCGATACCTTCTTTGTAGATTCGTCGTAGATCTACGAGTTGGACCAACTTTTCATTGTCATTGGAATACAATCTTATGGAATTTTAGATCTTTTAATACTGTACCCGTGTAGCATATAAAAAAAGAAATCTTATTCGTCAAATAATGGAATTGACTTGTCTGCTCACGTATTCAGTCGCATAACTATGTTAATAAATTGTATGTTTAATCCAATTTTCAAATATTTTCTATTTTTTATTGATTTTTAGTTTAGTAATTTCTGTAGTTTAGTAATCTCTCGGTTTGAAACGTTTCTCATTAGAAATGTGCCAATTACTTTGAGATTTATTGTTTCAATTTATTTTATCATTTTAATCAATGGTAACTTAAAAGATAGGGGATTACGTTCTACACAAACTCGTTGTAATGTGTCCAGATTTATTATTTATTTAAAATTTTTTAGATTTTATATCAAATGATTTATTTTCAAAAAGTTATTTTTAAATTGCTTTTAGTTTTGATGTAGCCAATACAATTCATAATATATTACTCAAGTTTTCGAATTAAATAGCTGAAAAAATTAAATAATTTTTAGATCTCTAAAATATATTGCTCACTTTGTCATCGAGTATGCTGGTTTAGTTATCGAACAAACAAAGAAAGAAGAGGAGTAAACAAAAAAAAACATTTTATAACCCAGCAATATCAAACACTAAGAGAAGTAAACTCGTCGGGAGGCCCGTCTGGGGATCAACAGTAAAAAAAAGACCAGCTGCAGTCGCTGAATAAGAAAAGACGGCCGAGCTCACCGAGAAAAAACGGTAAAACAGTTATAAAAACAGCGCCGAGAAATCAATTATTCAATCGGGAGGAAGCGCATAAAGAGATGCGCTCTCGTAAAAAGAGGAAAAGTCGTCGTGTGCTTTTTTTTGTATATGTCGCCTTATAGGGTAACCGACACCGTAAACTCTACGGTGGCAGTTAAAACTTAGATAGCGGCCAAGCGAGTTATCAAGGAACGGACGCGTTTAACGGTTATAGGAGACGAAAAAGCACCCACGGCTATTAAGGGACACGCGCGAGCCCGAGTGGGACGACGCTTTGCATTTTTTAGTTACTTGTACTTTTATCTCGTAAGTAGCCGAAGACGTGTTGATAAGAATAGTTGTAATTTCGCTTTCTGATCAAATCATCAATGGCGAAAAACTTTAATAACTTTTTTATATTCATTGATACAAGTAGTCCAGAAATGTCTAACGATTGAAGGAAAAAAAATCTAAAATGAGAATAAAAAAGCTTTCATAGCAAGATAATGAAAATTCATTTGATTTGGTAATTAAAATTACGTGGGTAATGCAGTAAGCTACTACAGCTACGATTTTTATTCGAAAGTCATGCGTTGGTTTGAACTACCCCACGGTAGATGGCGATGGCAACTACTAATATACATACGTTATTTTTTTCAATGTTGTCAACCTAATCAATATTAATATTATTTCAGATTTATCTTTATTTTGACATATCGGCAACTAAAGAAATTATAATTTACAAGGCGGTGAGTGTTACAATATAAAAAAATTAAATATAAAACTTATTTATTGATGTATTTGCGAAAAGAAACGATTTTTGTAAATAACGTTGATTCACTAAAAATAAATACAAATTCAAGAACAATCAATTGTATTTATCCAATTAATCGAAAGCTAATCCCAATGCTGTTTTCCAAAATAAACAAAATACAAAAAAACAATTTGCTAATATCTCTTAATTCTTTCAGCGAACATTCGGGATATGTATATGTAATTCAAGCCAATCACACAAAACAGACATAGCGATTACATCGAAACAACATTCCTTTTTTCGCCCCTTCTTTCGCAATAAAGGGATGAAAAACGTGGCGCGTGCGCCTTTCCCTTCGTAACACTCGTGAGATATCACTCGGCGCCCCTAACACACACAACTGTCTTCATCAAACATGGAGTATCGCTTTTTTCTTCCACCACCATGGCAATCGTGATCAATGATAATTCAAAAATTATTGCTCTTGTAAGGACGATTCTTCACGTGTTTAGTCGACAATGTTTAATGCTCAAGTGAAGGGGCGTAGTATTGTTTAAACCGGCGATTCTCATGCGTGTCGGACGTACGCTCGTATTTCTTCATTTTAGCTTGGATCCTCTTTTCTGTTCTGTCGAAACGATATATCGATGTAGAGGTTTTTATGATTTTGGAGTACGGTTTGTTTCATTCCTTCTTTATGTATTAGAATTATTTATGAAATATAATTAAGTTTCGATTCATTTCAATGCTTATTGTGTAAACTCATTGATATACAATAGTTTAAGCTAGTAAAACTTTGTTTCGGCGGTACCTGCTTCTTTCAGCGAAAAGAGAAACTGAACTTAATCTTTCTGCATCTCAATGTGAATTCGTTTCATAGAAGCTGTCTAAATTGTTTCACGATTGCTTTTCTCTCATTCAATGTCACCTGTACCCCGATACAATATTTAAGCGTGCATAATCGAAGTCAAAATTCAACAATATAATGTTTTACAACAAAAAAACCCAGAAGAAGAAAAGCAAACCTCATTCAATCTGCATCATTGAATAGAAATCATTTTCTCACAAAGAAAATGAAAAAAGAAAAAAACAGATTGGATCATATAATTTGTGAAGAGTCGAGATTGATAAACAAGGCAATAGGAAAACGAGGCAAAATCCGGCCGTTTGTATTTGAAGCCGGTAGAGTTGGCTTAAATATTCAACGAGGCAGGAGGCGCACAAGCTTGCGTTATATTCCTTTTGGCCTTTCTCTCCTTCCCTATAAAGTTCCCGCCAAGAATTATACTCGCTGGAGAGAACTGCAGTACGAAATCGTAAAGCGTCTGGAAGCTCTATTGTTTCCTCCCGTTCTATACCGAGACTCGCAAGGGCAAAATATGGCCGCGATAAAAATTACGAAATTTTATGGGCCGCAGCCTCTTGTGATGGCGAATACATGATTATCTCAAAGATCCCTAATGGTACCTGTAGTTTTCTTTTTTCGCGACAATATTACATTACACGTTTTGCTGCTGACTGTTAGGAAAATTAAGAGATGTATATTTCAATCTGATGGAGAACTGTTAATTTCTCTGGAGTTCAAGAATATCAGTGTCTAAAGTCAACATCATTTATTTGATGTATAATTGTAGATTCAATGCAATTACAATTAAGAAGGAATTATCCCCATCCTACAACGACAGATATAATCAATCCAATTCGAATAATTTGTGGTTAAATGATTGAATTGTATGCGTCTGTAAAAAAGGCAGTGTAATAATATCAAAAGCACATTGTCTAGTAACGCAATTGAATTTATTCAATCTTATCTTCTTGCAATAGCTAGCGATGGCAGAGAATAGACCTACAATTGTGAAATATTTCTCTAGAACTTTTGAAAATGTCGGTTGTAATATTCTATTGAATAACTCTATCATTAATAAACTTTAGTCTTAGTTTTATGGCATTTACTTTTTTATTTTCATAAAAGGAAGTCTTCAAATAGACTTGTTATTGAATGTTTATGTTGTATTCCAGCGATGTTATTTGAATGATGAGCCGGTGATGTTAAATAGTCACAAGCTTGGAAATAGTTTCAGAGAGATCAATGATAAATGATTGTCAATAGTTTGATAATACTGAATGAAATATTTACTAATAACCGATAGAAAAGAATAGTGTTCGCAATTATGCAGCTATTTTGATACACGATAAGATACTTGTCATATCACTTGTTCACTCGTAACTTTTTTTAAGTACTTTTGCAGCTCTTCAAGGGTGTGTAGTTTATGATGTTTGCACAAAAGCTCAGTTAGTAATACAGGTCGAACAAAGATCGTCGTTATTTTGACTATAAAAATTGCAATATTATTTTTTTTGCTGACAGTTTGAATAGTTTAAAGGTAAGTATCGATAAAATCTAATCATATGTCTCTTAAGTTCGCCAAAACACTTATTAGATTTTCATTTTGTCAACCCTACTTATTTTAATATCAAAAGTATAAAAATATCACTTTTAGGTAAAGTGGGGTAAGGCAAAGCTGAGGTACAACTTTTTTATTAAATTGTTTCAATCTCGTTTTAAATGAACTAAATACATTAATTAATGTACATTGGGTGTAGTCTTAAGCCTGTTTTTAAATAATTAGTGAATAACATTTACGGCTCTAAGCTACGGAAAATACTTGCGAGTTGGCGTCAGTGTATATAAACAAAGAGTCGTAGCTCCAGAGCGGTTTCATATCTTTTTAAATCAATATATTTTTTTAAGAGAAACAAAAGCCAGTCACCAAAGTATAGTTTGCATGTGTCTAAAGAATGTTATAGCCGATTGTCATAGATACCTCCTTTGCCTAGCTTTTTTTAAAAATCCGAAAGTTGATTTCTTGCGATTAAGTGCTCTGAGAATGAGTTTTTGACATTAAAAAATGTTTAATAAGACACATTTAGATAGAATTTTTCACAAGGAACCAGAATCCGTCGTCAGAATTTTAATTGCATGTGTTTGAACGAAATTATCGCTGATTAACTCTTAGGTATCCCATTTTGCTCGGATGTCCTCTAATTGTCACTCAAATTAAGCAACGAATTTCTCTTTTTTAATGTGAACTACTTTAAACAATTATTCATTCGAACAAAGGTTCACCCTCCTATCTTACATGCACATGCATAGTGTGATGGACTTTTGACTTCAACGTAGAATTTTGCTAGGAAAACTTTTCGCTAATTTTAGTTGGGAAATGATTGTTCATGAGTGACGCAAGCAAAACATGAACATCGACATAAAAGTAAATTTGCATTTCCCAAAATAATATAAAACGAGCTCCGTACTTTTGTCCGATAAAAGTCGCGCTTCCGCCGATTCTGATAATGTACCCGTGGGGTTGCCTGCTTCAAAGTGCCTTCCGGCTTGCGAGCTCTGCGTTCGGCAAATTTCATTCTTAATACCAGCAGCGATTTTATATGGATCTGAATCAAAGCTACAGTTCACTCGTCGATGGAGCAGAGAGAAGAAAAAGAGAGAGAGAGAGAGAGAGAAAGCGAGAGACAGACAGACAGAGCTTATACACTTGGGAACGCGTATGCGCCCGCACTCGCGATCGGCTCTTTCTCTGTACACAAGCCTGTTTCATCGGGACCGAGTGCAAAGTGAAAGATGTATCCTCAACGATAATTTCGTTTCTTTG